TTCAAAAAATTATCCGAAATATTCTACTATCCAGAGTTTTCGGGCAAACTTCAAATTTGAAAATTTTCTACTAATAATTATTGATATCAAGCTGTTCTGAATATTTTCTCCTTTTAAGTAATTAAATGCTTCAATAATTATTTTGGATTTGGATTTAGATTCTGATTTTACGTCATAACCACTAATCCTTATTGGATTTTTTCTTTTCTGGAGTAGGTAAAACTTTTCATTCCATGATAAACAAAGCTTCTGTGTTGAGTGGCTAAATCATGTGCTAACGAAACAGCCCCTATATCCATAAGGGCTAACCTAAATCTAATATGGACTTGTTAATGAGATATCTAAACCACATGTAAGTTACTATCTAAATACACGCTTATATTTATTGCAGTCCCATATAACCAAAATGAAACCTCAAGGAAGAAGCTCATGCACATTCAAGACTCCCCGATGTTCCAATCCCAATTTCATCCTTCCCTTTTCCCCTTCTGCCTCGTAAGCCATTGAGTCTATCTTTGACTCCCAAAAAAAAGAACAAAAAAAATCCTACTCTAAGATCTTCAAAAGCCCAAAGACAAAAAAGCACCAAATAACAAAAGGAAGAAAAAAATTTAACAAAACACCTGAGTTACTTTCATTTGAATTCATACACCAAAAATAACACATTCACATTCCAAACGTTTTCTTAACAGTAATCCCACAAGATTCATTAGTAAAAGAGAGGAAAAAGAAGTAAAGGACTGGTGCAGAAAGCTAACATAAAGTACTTAGATTGATGAAGAAAAAAACAAAAACAAGAGTTTTGAGGAAATTAGTTTTACACTTTTTGAGAGCCAAAAGAGTAATTACTGATAAACACTAGAGTCAGCTTACTGGTCAGGAGAGAGCTCTTAGAGTTATTCTCGCTATCAATTTCAGGATCAAGGCCTAACAATTGAATATAAGGAGAGACGGAAGGTATAAAAAACAAAAAGTAATTACCGATATGAAAAACTCATGACACAATATATAAAATTGAAACTTTTTTCCATTGTGACACAGTATATAAAATTGAAACTTTTTTTTTTCGGGAAAATGGAAGGCCTAAAGACCCATTGAAAAAGTAACTAGTTGGGATATGGGACTGCCAATATACCGTGGCTTAAATGCGCAAGTGGCATCCCTACCCCCTCCAAACCCACCAATATCAAAAACCTGAAATGACATCAAGAGCAAAATACCCTTAAATCTAAGTCTAGGGTAATTAAACATACCCAAGTTCAAGTTCAACCCTAATCCCCTTCAGTCAAAACTTCCAACTGGCTTGTCCGCATGTGCCCCAAATTTCCCTTATTATTTTAGCGTAAGACAGGATAAGGTATAGATCAATTCAGTTGCGTCAGGAATCATGCACCATTGTTACTGCCTTCCAGCAATAAAGTGCGTGGCATATGCTACCATTTCCTCGGAACCTTCATCATGTTCCCTCCCCCAAATAAATATTACATAGGATTTAGGACTCTTTCTACTGTCTCTTTGGGAGGCTCATTAAAATAGTAGTAATTGCTACCACAATTTACTAGACGTACGGAAGTACCAATTGAGTAAAAACAGAGAATCAACTCTCACTACTATTTTTAAAGACTTTAGTGTCCACAATTTGCATAATTCTCTAAATTTCTTTTCTTCATTTAGTTTACTGATACTAAGTCTTTGCATTCAAAAACAGTTATCAAAATTTATCGATTTTTTAATGGATTTGAACAGTGCGTTACAAGATAGTCATGAATTAATATTAATATTAATAGCTTAAGATGCGAATTAGGAGAGAGTTAGGTTAGGTGTTAAGACGAGAAGGATTGTAAGTAGGAAATTCTGAATTTAAAACCTTCAACATATCAAAAAAATAATTTAAAAAAAAGATCTTAGGGTGCAATTTGATAATCTATAATAGTTCAAGGGTGCAAATTTGCAATTACCAGAAAATACTGCATCTCACCAGCCGAGCGGCTGAGCCTGTAATGTGCAAGAAGAAAAAACTTTACTATAGCAACTGATTAGAGTGATAAGAGAAAATAAAAAATGATTAAACCAATAGAGAGAGAGAGAGAATGAAAATAGTTAACAAAGAGGGAGATAAGAGTAATATACAGTGTTTGAAATCTGGTCAAACATGTCAGTTTCGTGGGTTGAACTAGAGTCCCACCTTAATACTGGTTTGATTATATATTAAGCTTAGAACAAAAAAAGCAATTAAATCCAGTCAAAGACCGGTTAATCTAGTCAAAACTGGTAAATTCCAAAAGATTGAACCGTTTGGCCACTAAATTTTCTCTCTTTCTGACAATTTTGCACTAATCAGATTTTGACAATTTTCTCTCTTTTTTTTTAATTCAAAAAAAAAAAGAAAAGGTTGTTCCCTGACCCTAACCATTGAACTAGTTAAACCATGACCTAAAAGCTTATTCAATTCACTTTAGGATTTAGGACTCTTTCTACTATCTCTTTTGGAGAAGCATTAAAATAGTAGTTGCGAGCGCAATTTACTAGACGTATGGAAGTACTAAAATAGAGAATCAATTCTCACTATTTTTCAAAGACTTTAGTGTCCCCAATTTGCATAATTTTCTATAATTCTTTTCTTCATTTACTGATACTAAAATCTTTTTACCCAAAGATAACTATCAAAATTTGTCGATTTTTTAATTGATTTGAACACTGAGTTACTAATTGATGGCATGATTTAGCAAGGTTTCACATAACTCATCTATAATTTCAAAAGTTATATATAACCCCTTCATAATTTGGATTAAAGTATCAAAGTGATGTAAATGATTACTTGTAACATAACTCATAAAAATGTCGAAATTACCCTTGTTAAAAAACTAAAATAACTAAAATGATCAAAATATATATATATAATATGCATAACACTCTAACCCCATATGGTTTTATGTTTTACCACATAACTCCCTTATAATTTTTAAAATATATACATAATCCCCCGTGGTTAATAAATAATTTTCAACTTTATATAGAGGTACTTTTGACATTTTAGTTGCTTCCGTTATGAAATGCAAATTTCATCATTTTGATATTTTAATTCAAACTATAAAGAGATTATATATATCTTTTAAAACTATACGGGAGTAATGTGAAAATCACTAAATCATATGGGGATAAAGTGTATTTTGCCCTAATATTAATAGCTTAGAGGAGCAAATTGATAATCTATAATAGTTCAAGGGCGCAAAATTTCAATTACCCTAAAATACTACATCTCACCAGCAAAGCTGCTGAGCCTGTAAGGCTCAAGAAGAAAAAACTTTAGTATGGCAACTGATTAGAGTGACAGAGAGGGAGAAAATAAAATACGTGACAAAAAGAGAGATAAGAGTTATACACAATGTTTCAGAACCGGACCGAATCGGTCGGTTTGATCACGAACCGGCCATGACATCGGTCCGGTCCAGTATCAAACCCGAAAGCTAGTGGGAAACCGTGTGAACCGTTGAACCGCTGAAAACCCGTGTGAACCATAAATCGGCGGTTCTCAAATTTTGAAACAATAACCTCAAATTCAAAACAATGACAAGAATAAGGCTGCTAGGATTTGAGCTCTAGTCTCCATGACCATAATAAGGTACACTTACCACTAAACCACAACCGAAGGACAAGCTTTTGTTGTGTAGAATTTTACTTAACTTAACCAAAAAACTAAAATCAGATTATATAAAAAAAACCCTAAAAGACCTAGCAAAGTGTAGACGGCACATCATTTCAGTTTCCTCGGCTTCACTTCCTCTGTTCCTTGGCTTCTCCAGACTCCAATTCTCCTCTTGATTTTTTTTAAAATTTTTTCTTCATAATCCTTCAACATCCTAATATCCACGACAAGATCATCATGCTATTATCTTTAGACGAGACTCCAGAGCTTTTTTTTTAGCTTCACCAATTAGCTTTTTTTTTTAGCTTCACCAATTGGCTTTTTTTTAGCTTCACCAATTAGATTTATATTTTTTGTAATAAACTTTTTAATTTTTTCAGGTTAAATTGATGAAATTGTGAAGGGGATGCTGTTGCCTTGTCATGCCAATGATAGAAGTTTGTTAGTCAAATTGTTTGCCTTGAATATGAGCTGAACTTTTTTATGGACTCTTTTGGAATTGTGAAAGAATGTTAACATTTATTTTATTTATTTTTGTATTTTTGTTTGTGATAATTGATGAACATTTGGACTATATCTATTAATGTTTGTAATAAATTTATGAAAACTTGGAGTGAACTATGATATTTTAGTTATATTTATCATTTCAAGTTTCATGTATAACTTTTAAAAAATTTATTATTATCTCAACTTAAATTTAGATTTAACTTTTAAATTATATTGGTGAATGTATTTTAGGGACTTAAGTTATTAATAACCATGTTAGATTGTACATTAGCCGTCAAATTCCAGTGTAGACTATAGAGTGAAGACCTGTGAAGTAAAAAAAAAAAAAAAAACTGTTGAACCGTTGAACCGGCGGGTTGGACCATGAACCGCCCCCTCTCCGGTTCACTTACCGGTCCGAGTTCAAAAACATTGGTTATACATGGTGTTTAGAAACCCAGTCAAACCTGTCGGTTTGGTAGGTTGAACCAGGCCCCGACCATGATACTGGTTTGATTGTATATTAAACTTACGGAAAAAAAAAATCAAATACAGTCAAAGACCGGCTAATCTAGTCAAAACTAGTAAATCTCAAAAGATTCAACAGGTTGGCTACTACATTTTCTCTCTTTTTTGACAATTTAGCACTATTAAGATTTCTTAATTCAAAAAAAAAATTTTTAAATTATTCCTTGACCCTGACTATTGTACTATAGTTAAACCATGACCTAAACGCTTATTCAATTCACTTACCAATCCAGGTTTAGAAACATTGGTTAGCCATAGCCAAATTGTTAAAGCAGTACAGTTCATGCTTCAACAGTTTTCTACTGCAATTGATTAGAGTGAACAAAAGGGAGAGAAGAGTTAGAGATGGCTACGCTTTCCAAGTCTTCCAATTATTGTGCCGATACACTGAGTTTCTTGAAGTGGTTTGAGAACCATTGGAAATTAGAAATTGCAGTGAAGGATAAATTCCAAACTCTCAGACTCAAGATGATCCTACTTGAAGCCTTCTTCAGCCCCAAAAGAAAGTGGCACACTGATGACAAGAATTTGCAAGTCCACCTTTGGCATATAAATCAGGTGCTTCATCATGCTACTAAATACTTCATTCTGTCCAAAGGGAAATGTTGGACCCTCCAAGAGAAGTTGTGTGGTATCATTTCTGGTGTCATAAAGAAGCTTGATGTGGCTATTCCGCACATCAGGCAAGTTTATGCAATAGTTTCAAAATCAAGAAGATCCACTTGTTCCACAGCAAATGAACTGATTGAGCTTATTCATATGCTTCTGGAGAAAATGGAAAATCTACTCAGCTGGAAGGCTCGGTCATTTCTCCGTCTAAGTAAAGAAATGGAAGAGCTTGAAGAGGATTTGAGGTATCTACGAAATTTTCTTCGGGTTACAGAAATTTGGTGCAATAAAGATGAGATGTTGCAAGATCTCTTGACACATGCTGAAGCTGTGGCTTACAGTACAGCATGTATCTTGTTCTTGTGTACTGAAGAGAGCAAGATGGATGTTGACATCGTGAACGAGATGAAGGGTGAAGTTTCTTGTGTGGTACAGAAGATTAAACCTTTTCAGCCAAGTGTGAGAGAGATTTATATCAAAGCCCTGAAAGCTTTAGAGTCATCGCCACAAGATATCATTTTGGTGGATGAAACTGTTCTGCATTTTCTTTATAGTCTCCTCGGCCACATGATAGATCTATCCAAAGTGAAGGCAAGTTTCAGGAGATCTGTAATAGATCAAATTGAAGCTTTGCATAAGGAGCTACAGATCATGAGAGATTATCTGTTCGATCCATCAGCTTCGCAGTACAATCAGAGCAATGAGAAAGCTAATAATGTACTGTTGCACATCAAAGATTTGCTCTTTCACGCAGCATATGCTATTTATACGTCTTATGACAGTGATATAACTAAAGAAATGGCTGAGGTACTGAATCTGACCGTTGCTGATTTGTTCCAAGAGATCGAGGATATCAAGCAAGAGGCCAGGGATGTATACGATGAAATAATTGCCAAATCACTAAGGTCAAATTTCCCCAGAACCAATGAATTGGGCTTCATGGAGTTTGTGATCCAGAATCTGCATGAGCTGCTAAGTTCATCAAAAGCTGGTTCATGAGTTCTTCAGCTGCAGCATCAAATGGAGACAGTTCTTGGAAGTATATTATCCCTCAGAGAAGATGTCTTTGAAATTAAAGCATTGTTTCGAGAGCAGAAAGAACAGAGAGACCTTTGGCTGCAGTTCATAAACATTGTATACCATACCGAATTTGTCATTGATTCATTTACTGCGAGAAGTGGATATCTTTGGGATTGGAAATTGGGGCTGTTTGATATCATGGAACAGATTCATATGACCAGGAGAGAGATCAATGCTATTAAAATTACGAGGACAACTGACACTACAGTCCTCAAAAATCTTGGTTGTGTATCTTCTCTGGAAAATTCAGGAAATTCTGGTGCACTGCAGGATCCCAGCTATGAGGTTGGAAATGAAACAAAGAAGCCCATTGGTCACGTGGACCTTTTTGTTGATGCAGAGAAAAAGATAAGAGAGCAACTTACTAATAAGTGCAAAGACTTGTGCCTACTCTCCATTGTGGGAATGCCTGGCATTGGTAAGACAACACTAGGCAATTCAATATATGAAAATCGTTTCGTTCGTTTATGCTTTCATGCTCGTGCAAGGTGCCACGTTGGTCATGCGTGTCAAAAGAGAAGATTGTTGCTTGATATTCTACAGCAAGTTTGTGGGGAAACTGACCAAGTATGTACAAGGAATGATGATGATTTAGCTGAAAAGTTGTATCAAAGTCTCAAGGGCAAAAAGTACTTCATCTTCTTGGATGATCTGTGGGATCTTAGGCAATGGAATGATATGAGAGCCTCTTTCCCAAATGATAAGAAAGGTAGTAGAATTATGTTCACAAGCAGATTTCAGAATATTGCTCTGGAAACAGGAATGAATAGCGTGACTTATCCTCTTACTCCAGTATCAGATTCTAGGACCTGGGAGTTACTGCAAATCAAGCTGTTTGGAAAAGAAAGTTGCCCTCCAGAACTTGTCAAAGTTGGACAGAAAATTGCAGCCGAATGCAAAGGCCTAACTCTTGCAGCAGATCTGATAGCTGGATTACTGAGAACGATGGCAAGCAAAAAAGAATGCTGGGCACAAGTTGCAAATAGTCTAAATACACACCTTCTTGAGGATCAAGACGGACGGTGTATGCAAATACTGGAACTTAGTTACAACCAGTTACCAGACCATTTGAAACCATGCTTTCTTTATTTTGGAGCATTTCCTGGGAACAGAGAAGTTCCAACCAGTAAGCTGATGTGGTTATGGATTTCAGAAGGATTTGTTAAATTGCAAAATGGTGATGAAGGAAGCCCAGAGGATGTAGCTAGGAGTTACTTGAATGATCTAATTGCCAGAAGCCTAGTAATAGATTCCAAAAGGGGATCCTCCAATGGAGTGAAAGCAAGCTGTGTTCATGATCTAATGCATGATTTTGCTCTGGCAAAAGCTAAAGAAGAGTGTTTTTTCCAGCAGCAAATATGTGTTCATTCCAGACATGTGTCTTCTCATGTCCAGACATTGTATGAGCCATACCGTCTGTGCATCTATTCAGAATGGGAATGCTTCAAAGCATCAATGCCTTTTGGCCCACGCCTCCGCTCTCTAGTGTCTTCTGACTTCTCATCTTCTTGCCCCTTCGAGAGCTTCAAACTTCTCAGGGTGCTGGATCTTTCAGGCACCATTGTCGACCTTACTCCTTGCATATTCCAGTTGGTTCATTTAAGATTCTTATCTGTTTGCACTTCCTCAACAAGGATCCCCTGGGAAATCAGCTACCTCCAAAACCTGGAAACTTTACTACTAAGATCACGCAAGGGTATTCAATTGCCCGACACTGTTTGGAAATTGGTGAGATTGAGGCATTTCAGAATAGATTGGCATTGCTTTTTGCCGCGGTATAATCAAGAATTCATGGAGAAAACCTTCAAGTTCAATAGCTTACAAACTCTTTCAACACCATGTTTATTTTTCCATGAAGATCTTGAGAAGACCATGAGAGGCCTACCCAACCTTCGAAAGCTGAGTTGCATATTTTTAGATTCATGGGATCATTCTTTCAATTGCAATCGGTTTCCTGTTCTGGACTTTCTCACTCAACTTGAATCGCTCCATGTGGTTTACGGTGGTCAGGTGGTTCGTCATCCTTGTGAATTCAACTTTCCCCACAATCTTAAGAAGTTGAAGTTATCAAAGTTTCGTTTGCCATGGAGTGCAGTATCAACCATTGGGAAACTGCCTAATCTGGAAGTTCTCAAACTATTGCATGCCTCCTTTGAGGGCAAAACATGGGACATGAAAGAAGAAGAATTTCTTAAACTCAAGTTCTTGAAGTTGGAGTCGTTGGACATTGCACATTGGAATGCCTCAGAGGATCACCTCCCTTGCCTTGAGACACTTGTGGTGAAGAAATGTCATGCACTTACAGAGATCCCTCTTTGTTTGGGGGATATACCCACACTACAGAGGATTGAGTTGCAAAATTGCACCCGCTCTGCTTGGATTTCAGCCCGTACAGTGAAAGAAAAACAGAAGGAAATGGGAAATGACCAGTTTGAGTTCACTTTTAAGTTTGAGGGATCGTGGAGGGTTCCCTATGAAGCCTAGTATACAATCGTCATTTACATTAATTTGCTTGATGATGTACACTGCAGAGATAAACTCTACTGATCCTAATCAATTCTTCCTTCTAAAAGGTGTTCCATTTTATTTTATTTATGCATTTTCTTCTTCAATTATACTCCACAACAGAGCGTATATATGTATTAGCTTCTTCCAAATACTGAAGATTATATGTATTAGCTTTGTTTATTATTAATGCCATGTTTCACCCTTTTCATTGTTCCAAGATTAGGGTCACATAACTTTTTATTATTTTCAACTTCCGAACATGTCCTTATAAAGTTTTAAACAATAGGTTAAATCATTCACGTGGGATCATAAAATAAATTCTGATTTGAAAAGAAATTTAGAAGCATAAGTAACACCACCATGACTGCATGGCTTTCGTTTGTGCGTGTTATTTAGGATTACAAACGAGTCGAGTCGAATCGAATCGAATCGAATCGAATTTTGATCTAATCGAGTCGAGTCTCGACTTAATTTTACTAAGTTCGAACTTGATGAGCTCTCAAAGTAAAATTCGAATTTGAATTCGACTTCAAATTCGAATCAAGTTGAATTCAAACTCAATGTTTAAAAAATTAATTTTTTATTTTTAAAAAATGGATAAAATAGTAATTTTTCTTAACAAATAATAAAATATTAGGAATATATACATAATCTCATTATTAAAATAAAAAATTATATATATATATATATATATATATATATATATATATATAATCGAACTGGTTCGCAAGATGACAAACTAAAGTATCTTTGAACTCGATCTTAAATTGCTCGCGAACGACGTGCGAGCACCTCGACTCGTATGCAGCCTAGTGTTATCCACTCCTCCAATGAGTCTGTTGTGCAAAGCTGGGAACTGGACGTTCAAAAATCACAACGCGGCACTGCTAATAAAAAGTATAAAAATCGAAATCCGTCTCTTATTCTGAGAGTGATCAACTTATGGACAAGATAGGGAAAAGAAAAAAAGTGTACAAGTAAAGTAACAGAGAGGAGCACTCCTTAAAAAAAAAAATTGAAAATTGAGAGTAAGCAGTAACATATTGGACTCTACTAGTATCTCATACACCTTTTTTGGACTTGAACTAAAGCCTCAAATTTTGGTAACTAAAACCACCGGACTAAATTCTCGTTACCCCTTAATTTTCAGGCTATCTTTAAATTTAGGAAATATCCAGTATATGATTCTTCTCATTGCTCATATTCTTGAAGTTAGAATGGTTGAGCATTGCACATTGGAATGCTTAGAGGATCACCTCCCTTGCCTTGACACACTAGTGGTGAAGTATTGCTACCGACTTGTGGAGTTCCGTCCTAGTTCTTGGGGACACACCCACACTGCAGAGGATTGAATTGCAAAACTGCACTTCCGCTGCTAGGATTTCTGCCCAGAATGAAGGAAGAACAGGAGGAATTGGGAAAGGATCAGATTGTGGTCATCCTTGATGAAAAACTCCCACGTTAATTTGGGTCTTTGAATGTCTTTATATTTGGAAATTTGCTGCCGGGAAAAACCCAGAAACAGTTGAAAACATAAAACATACGACAGAAGATGGAACATTGAGGCAGAGCATCATTTCATCTTCCCAAACTTCTTTTTTTAGATAAAATAGTATAGTACCATATTTTATGTAGGCAGATAATCCCAAGTGGTATCTCTGTATTTTCAAGCAGCTAAAACTAAACTAGCAAAACTACCCCAAAATCATAACTTTTCAATAACCCATTAAAGAACATAGCAATTCTGAGGTAAAAGAACTTTGATAGATAGCACATTAATACGTATCCTCTTCTCTCTTTTTTGTTCTTGAACAGGAAACATTGCATGATGAACTAAAGTCTATTGATTCTTTGAATAAATTCAGCATGAAACCCGTACAAATTCAACTAAACGCACAGAAGTTTAAAATTGTGGAAAAAGATTACAATCTTTCATTCATTGTTAGAAAACTGAAAACAAAGATGCAGTCTGTTTGTCTCTGGTGACAAAATAAGAGAACATCAACAGCCGGGTATGTATTTATTTAGTGCATACATGAATATAAAATGAAACAGCAATTTTTTTTTATCAATCATCAACTCCTGTACTACTCTTACTCTAAACTATCTAAGGGAGGGCTCAACTAGGCCAATATGTTTGAAATAGTTCCCACTTCTAAATCAAAGGCATGCACTACTGCATATTTTTAGACTCCATTTGGGTTACCTAAATTTTGGGGTAGTTTTCAAAAACTTTACTGTAACTGTATATATGAAAAACTTTACTGTAAATGTTTTTGGGACTGTTTTTGAAGTATTTCAAGGGAGGTTTTTTGAATGAATTTTATGATATCTTTACAATTTATGAATTTTTGGGGGTATTTTTAACAAGTTTACACCACCCACCACTATCATCCCTTCCCTCTTCCTCCCTCTTCTTCTTCTTCTTCTTCTTCTTCTTCTTCTTCTTCTTCTCTCTCTCTCTCTCTCTCTCTCTCTCTCTCTTCTTCCTTTCTCCCTTCTCCCCCAATCTCCGGCCCCCAAACCCCACTTCCATCTCAAATCTAGTTGTGACTAGCATTGGTCGCAATCATGATTAGATTAGATTTGGTTGTGACCTTTCTGGTCGTGACCAGTAGAAATAGAGGGGGGATTTGGGGGGTGGTAGAAGGGGGGAAAAAGGGTGGCAGGGGAGGGGAAGAAGAGAGAGAGAGAAAAGAAGGGAAGAAGGAGAAGGAGAGAGGGAGAACGGAAGGAGGAGAGAGAAGTGGGGAGGGTGGTGGTAGTGGTAGTGGAGAGTGATGGGTGGTAGTGGTGATGGGTAGTGTGTGGAAAAAGAAATGTAAGATTTTTTTAAGTGTCATTATTGGAATTGTTTTTGAAGTTATTTTTGGAATTTACTATAGTTTTGAAAGACAAAAACAATTTTTTAAAAACTTGTTAAATCCATTAGATTTTGCAACAAATTTTTTGAGTTCGTAAAAGTTATATACTATGTTGAAAGTCATCACTTACTTTAATACTAAGACCCACCGCTGAGCATATATATTTACCACAAGCAAACTACAACAGTATAGTAGTTGTTTGACATGGAAGAATGGACAATTGTAAAAGTCCATTTCTACAGTGCAAACGTGAGAAACTTTTATTGTTGTGTCATGCCTAAATTGAGTAGCTGTCCTAGTTGTGATCTTCAACAGATTTTTAGGGAGCTATGCATTAATGAGAAGCGGAAAATTGGAGTTGCATGTTCGGGCTTTACTTGTATAAATAGAGATTTATTTCTTCAGTTGAATGCATCAGAATTCAAGAGAAAGAAAGTAAAATAAACGATCTCAATTGTTAAGTGAGTGTTTGAGCAGATTTCTCAAGAGTGAGACTCTGATAAAATTAGAACAGATATTCTTAAGAAAGAGACTCAATTTAGTAGTGTCTAGTTTAAGTTTATTTTGTGAGTGTTGTTACTGTATATACTTCGAGTGTAATAAAATTATTCATTTGTCTCCTTTATTAGTGGATTTAATCCATTAAATTGACATTAGAATTCACCACAATCCAACAATCTGTGATCAAAGTGGGTCTATTCTGGACTTGCTCTTGATAAAATCTTTATTTTGCAAGTACAGCCCATTGGGTTGATACAAGACAAGATTCTCTAGAAGCATAATGAAAAACTATGAAAATTTTTTGATATCACACAAGTCATAAAATTAACTATTGCAAAGGTTGCTATCTCAATTGGAAATATTGATAAATTAAGTATTAATTCTAACAACTATAGATCCTGGAGTACTCGTATGAAATTCTACTTGCTTGGACAAGATTTGTGGGTCGTTATTGGTAAAGATGACACAACACCGCCAATGGAGGCAGAGCCACTTAAAAAGTGGACAGTTAAAGTTGACCAAACTTCATATGCTTTGACAATAGTTGTGGAAGATGATTTACTACACCAGATCAAAGGTGTCAAGACACCAAAGGAGGTATGGGACACATTCACAACACTCTTTACAAAGACCAATGATGCAAAACTCCAAAAGTTCAAAAATGAATTACTGTTTATTTCTCAACAAAATACGATAGTAGGTCAATATTTCTTCGAGGTAAAATCAACTCGTGATGAAATATCCAGATTGGATTCCCAAAATGCAATCATAAAGACCAAAATGTAGAGAATTATTGCCCATGGTCTAAAACCATTATACAAGGGTGTTATTATTGTCACTCATGGTTGGGCCAAGGAGTCAATCTTAAATGAGTTGGAAAGTTTACTTGCCAACAAGGAAGTTTTAGACAATCCTATGTCTAAAGTATCTATTAAAGAAGAAGAAAAAGTTCTCTTTATGAGAAAGGGAGGATCTCGGCTACAGATAGAAGACTAGCAAATAACTAGAATAACTCAAACGGCAAGTAAGGCCTATGGCAGCAAAAGAAGTGGAAGAGCAACAATCAAGTGGGATGGCCAAAATAGAAGGCATCAATGGTCTCAAGCCAACTAGGTGATGAATGCTACAACTATGATAAGAAATGGCATCTTGCTAAATTTTGTGTGTGACAGCCCCACCTTACCCTAAGGCGAACCAAAGGATTCGGCGGACCGCCTGCCCAACTCTCGCCGGGACTCATTCGTAACTTCATCAAAATCGGAAGAAAACTTCACGAATCAAATCGAATTGGACGGGCCGCTGCCACGTCATCATCCAACCAGGTACAAGCAATCATTATGTGATATGAGAGAATGTACATTCCCAAATACAAATTTCACTTCAACATGAGAAAACACTTTAATATATACATAGTAATAAGTTTACAAACCAAAAGGAACCATTGTATTCAAATACATTTAAGGTTTCCAACTTTCAAGGAGCTATACAAACTAGTAGTTATACAAGCTCAATTCGTTCTTCAAAATGATCATTGGTCCAAAAGACGATTTCCTGTAAGGAAAACAAAAATAACGGGACGGGGTGAGTTAGAAGTTCAATGAGGTACCAAAACTATGAACAGTAGAAATCATAAGAAAACATTTATAGGTCACATATCCACATCAAGTAAAAGAAATGAACGAACATCACACTTTAAAGGATACAGATGGCTCTTAGGAG